GTAGTTTGTCTTCCATTGCGGTAGTAAAGTTTTTAATTAGGAAAGCTAATGAGATCGATTAGTCATTAGAACTGACCTCTGGATCTCTGCGAGGAGTGTGCATGTGTGCGCCGGGCTGATAACGGGGGACGCTGGGGTATTGTTTGTAATAAAAGCCTAAAGTGTTTGATTTGAGTGAAATGTGCCACGGGGAATACATCATGCGGAGAAAAAAAAATTACAACCCTGGGAGCCTGTAATGAAGGGAATTAAACCAACATCCTATCTAAATAACATGATTATCTACACAAAACCCCTCAGCTAGCAAGTAATAATAGAAAAACGGAGCTCTTCGGAGAGTCTCTTTCAGGAGGTGGTTAATGCTGGAGCCGAGCACGCAGGCACTTTCAGAAGAGCAGCTCTGGCATGAATACACCATCCAATTACTGCTGGGGAATAGAGTTTACCAGGTGCCACTCTGCCTGTGCGAGGAGAAGGGGAAGAGGGGGGGGACGCCTGGAAGTCGTAACAATTTGGGACTTGTATTTCTTGGGCGAGCGGGAGGCGGGGGACGACGTCGGGCTGGGGTTTGATGAGGTTCTGAGGTTGATTAGTGGCAGCTAGAGCTTGCGTAGGGGCAAAAAAAAAATAAGTTGATTAGTGGCAGCTAGAGCTTGCGTAGGGGCAAAATAAATAAATAAATAGGTTGATAATGTATTCAACAAATTCCCAGCTTAATATAGAGTGGTGGAGGGTAAGGGTCAACTCGTGCTGTTGTCGTTCCGGGGGGATGCACGGGCTGGGGTTTGATGAGGTTCTGAGGTTGATTAGTGGCAGCTAGAGCTTGCGTAGGGGCAAAAAAAAAATAAAAATAAATAGGTTGATAATGTATTCAACAAATTCCCAGCTTAATATAGAGTGGTGGAGGGTAAGGGTCAACTCGTGTTGTCGTTACAGGGGGATGCGTTTTTGCGGCTCTTCTTCCTTCCCTGGTGAGAAAGAGCTGCTTTGGGTACGTGGTTGGTGGCATCTCCAGGACAGGTTGGATGCGGCCATTGCCTCCTGGGTGACAAGGGGATCTTGTCGTTGGCCAACCAGTTCCCCAGTCCTCATCATAGCTGGGATTTCATGGTGTGAGTGCAGCGTTGGGCCACGCAGGGATGTTGGTCCCTTTGTTATTCCCATTGTACAGTCCTAAATGCAGTTCTCTGAAGCAAAACACTCCAACTTTGTGGGTGTTTGTGAGCAATTATAATTGTAATTAGAGCTTAAGCCTTGAAAAGGGCTTTAAAAAAGCCCTGTGATGGTGAAGTTGCTGACCTGAAGAATTTAGTCTGATATAAAAAGTCCCAGGACAGGGAAACAGCGGTGAAAATACGTTTGTTTTCTGTCTTTTCTCTCTCTTCTTGCCTCACCTCTAAAGCAACGGGCGTCTGTGGTTCTTTTGGTCATCGAGTCACTGAATGGATCAGGTTGGAAGGGAAATTAAAAGATCATCTAGTCCAAACCCCCCTTTTGTGGGCAGGGACACCTCCCACCAGAGCAGGATGCTCCAAGCCCCCTTCAACCCGGCTTTGAACCCTTCCAGGGATGGGGCAGCCACAGCTTCTCTGGCCAACCTGGGCCAGGCTCTCAACACCCTCAAATCAAAGAAGTTCTTCCCCAGATCTCATCTTCTGATGTTGGTGATCCCAAAGCTGGAGGCAGCACTGGGTGGGGGGGTCTCCCTAGAGCAGAAGGGCAGAATGCCCCCCCTTGTCCTGCTGGCCACGCTGCTGGGGATGCAGCCCAGGATGTGGTTGGTCATATCCCACTTCTCACCTGCCCATCTCAAAGTTCTTCCCCACTGGGCCACCTTCTCCTCCATCGTTCATCCCCCAGAATCCGCTGATACTGGGGATTGTCCTGACCCAAGGACCTTGCCTTTTGCCTCATTGAACTTCATGAGGTTCACATGGGTCCAGAAAACATCTGGGTTTATTTGAATTTCTTTACTTTTTAATTTTTATTCCAAATCACCAGAAGCTCTTTAAGTTACTGGGGTTGACTTCCTGGCTTTTCAGTTTGTTCAACGTTTACCGCTTGACTTAACTCCCTCTTCCTTGGAGCGTGCTTTGTAGGGCTGCTGGTTTTATTGGTGCTCGCTGGTTAACAGCAACGTGCTGCTCGTGGAAGCATCATTAAAAGTCAGCAGAAGATAATTTGCATGCAGGCATTATTTTGATGCCTTAATTAAGCAGAGGTCTCGTGTAGGAGATGGAAAGATCTCTTAAGATAAGGCTTTGGTGCAAAGACCTGGCTTCGTGCGTGGTGGAAACAGGGGTGGGAGGTCCCGTACACCGTGATGGGGACAAGCGCGATGGCAAGGAACCTGCAGCTGGGGAAGAAGAATGTTAGGCATCAATACAGGTTGGGCATGGACCTGCTGGAGACGAGCTCTGAAGAAAAGGATCTGGGGGTCCTGGTGGACACCAAAATGACAATGAGCAAGCAGTGTGCTCTTGTGGCCAGGAGGGCCAACGGAATCCTGGGCTGCGTAGGGAAGAGTGTGGCCAGCAGGTCAAGGGAGGTCATTCTCCCCCTCTACTCTGCACTGGTGAGGCCACAACTGGAATCCTGTGTCCAGTTCTGGGCTCCCCAGTTCCAGAGGGACAGGGAACTACTGGAAAGAGTCCAGTGTAAGGCTACAAAGATGATTCAAGGACTGGAGCATCTCCCTTATGAGGAGAGGCTGAAAGAGCTGGGACTCTTTAGTCTGGAGAAGAGAAGGCTGAGGGGAGACCTTCTCAATGCCTACAAGTATCTCAAGGGCGGGCTGAGGGAGGAGGGAACCAGACTCTTTCCAGTGGTTCCCAGAGAGAGGACAAGGGGCAATGGGCACAAGTTGGAACATAAAGGGCTCCACTTGAATATGAGGAAGAACTTTTTCACGATGAGGGTGACAGAGCCCTGGAACAGGCTGCCCAGGGAGGGTGTGGAGTCCCCTTCTTTGGAGATTTTCAAGCCCCACCTGGATGCTCCTGAGTAACATGCTCTGACAAGCTCTGGGTGGTCCTGCTTTAGCAGGGGAGTTGGACTAGATGATCTCTATGGTCCCTTCCAACTCTAAAAATAATTCAGTGAAATTCAGTGAAGTGAGAGCTGGCTGGGCTATTTATACCGAACGCCTTCCAAATTTTATTGCAGCCATATAAAAGAGATTATTTGCGTGGTGTCACCAGCACGCTCGGGGCTTTATAGGCGGCGGCGAAGGCTGTGAATCCCTCCGTCCGCTCCTTGCCCGATGATCGTTTATCTTACGGTGTGGTGTTGAGGAGTGTTACGATCATCATGTTGATTAAGAAAAATCCCAGTGATTTACCCGTTGTGGCCGAGCCTGATTTTTTCCTCCCCAGCCCATTTCAAGTTGTATCTCTCAGGTGGAGTTTGGGAGTGAAAATTCATGTTGCTCGATCCCTCCCGAACCCAACGCGCGACACCGACTTGGTTGGGAATATTCAAGAAGGAAAATATTCTCCCTATTAAATGTGGGGAGATGGGGAAGCTGCTTCCTCTTCTCTAGGGAATGAAATTGGCTCTAAAAACCATTTCCCTGTTTTTCCTTTTTTGACACAGATCCTATTTATACCGAACGCCTTCCAAATTTTATTGCAGCCATATAAAAGAGATTATTTGCGTGGTGTCACCAGCACGCTCGGGGCTTTATAGGCGGCGGCGAAGGCTGTGAATCCCTCTGTCCGCTCCTTGCCCGGTGATCGTTTATCTTACGGTGTGGTATTGAGGAGCGTTACGATCATCATCTTGATTAAGAAAAATCCCAGTGATTTACCCGTTGTGGCCGAGCCTGATTTTCTCCTCCCCAGCCCATTTCAAGTTGTAACTCTCAGGTAGAGTTTGGGAGTGAAAATTCATGTTGCTCGATCCCTCCCATACCCAACGCGCGACACCGACTTGGTTGGGAATATTCAAGAAGGAAAATATTCTCCCTATTAAATGTGGGGAGATGGGGAAGCTGCTTCCTCTTCTCTAGGGAATGAAATTGGCTCTAAAACCCATTTCCCTGTTTTTCCTGTTTCGACACAGATCCAGCATCCCGAGATTACCTGTTTAACTGGGAAACAACCTTATTTTCCCTGACCTCGCAGAGACAAACATGGGGACGGGTACAACATTTTCAGGGGAAATAATGATTCTGCTTTTCCCCTCTCAACCTTGCCATAATTTTAATTTAGAGGATCTCCAAGAAAAACAGCCGTCCCTTTAAATCAGTTATAAAACCAGAAGACTTAGTCTCAGCATGTAGTGTCAGCTTTAATTATCTGGGCAGTTATAGCTGTATGTTATAAAAGTCGGGCAATTAGATGCATTCCTTAAAGCTGTGAAAAAAAAAAATTGCAAGCTATCAAGTGGAGGGAAACCAGAGTCAAACGTATAACTGTTAATTGCATGAAACATTCGGTGGAATAAACCTGCCTGTAGATCATCCTGCAAAAAACATGATGAAAATGGGAGTGATTAAATGCGTAAATCTCTTTCTGACGTAGATGTTTGGGGTCAAGGGATTGTTGGTTAAAGCAGGATTCACCTGCTGGAGTTTTGCTGTTGGGTTGGTGAAGCCAAACACCCCCAAGCCTGTCAAAGCCATTCTCCTACCATCAACCATAGAATCATAGAATTGCCCAGGCCGGAAGGGACCTCTAAAGGTCATCTAGTCCGACCTCCCTGCAGTCAGCAGGGACACCCCCAACTAGACCAGGTTGCCCAGGGCCTCGTCGAGCCTCTCCTTGAATATCTCCAGGGAAGGGGCCTCAACCACCTCCCTGGGCAACCTGTTCCAGTGCTCCACCACCCTCACAGTGAAGAAAACCATGATGGTCCCATCTATGCCTGACGCACCACAGGGGTCTTCTACCTCTTTTGCAGGTGCTGAAGAGTCGGGTGTAGGATCTATGTTGGTGAAGGTCCCTTCCATCCCCCCTAACCTGAATTTCAAGCCCTTTTTTCCATTTGCTCTCTCGTAGGAACCAACTTGCAATTTGTGAGGAGCCCCCCAGCCAACAAGGTGATAAAGACACGCTACAGGATAGTCAAGAAGAACGTGGTGTCTCCAGCCGGATCGTCCTTCAGCAGCCCAGTTCCCAACTGGAAAACGAGGCGCCCCGGGACATCCAGGTAATTCATCCATCCATCCCTTGAACGCAGCGGGTTGGGATGCGGGAGCTGAGGGAGCTCCCACGTGGGCTCCTCGTTATTGCCGTTGCGCGTTCGTCGCTTAATTTCTCTATTTGTTTAGCAGCTTCTACGCAGAGTTTATTGACTTAAAGTGTAAAATCGTATTAGTAATCACGTTAGCCCGAGTCGGCGGCCAAGAGTTTACCGCAATCTCTGGCTTCATATTTATTTCCTCTTTCAATTAATTGTTTCCATGAAGCAGTTAAATAAGCTGTAAGGAAGATGAATAAAAGAGAAAAAGCAGGCAGCTTTTTACATCAGCCTGAAGTAAACCTGCTGCTTTTTTTGGAGGTAGATGTGGCCTGTTAATTAGGGATGGTCAAGCCCGTTAACGAGGCCAGACCTTCCTTCTGCTTTATTATTGTGTAATTTGGTGCTACAGAGGAGCTTATTGAAAGAGTGTTGGAGGTAGATGCCCCAAACTTACACCAGGAGGTAGGTGCATGCACAAACTTGCTTCTTCCTGGGTTTTCTGGGCAGGTGGAGCATCAGCCTGGGCACGTAGCAAATAATTTGATGTGCCAGCACCCATCTGAAGAAGGGTGTCACCCAAGGGTGGTGCCGTACCATGGAGTCTGAATCTTCCTAAATCAGTTGTGCTGATGTTTTGTGCAAGCTGCAGCTCCTTTACGTGGTGGAGATGTCACCAGGGAACATCTCAGAGGCCGAGACAAAGTCTGGACGTTGTGTATTAGCAGAAAGGTCATTACAATAATTCAGGCTCTAAATAAAGGTGTGATTAGAACTGAGGTTTATGTTTATAGCCCAGATTCTGGCTGTTCTTTGGTTGAGAATGACTTCTCCTCCCCCCTGAAATGCTGGTTTGCCGCTGTCACAGGCAATATTTTGGGCAAAGAAAGCTTCTGTGCTTTGCTATGGATTTGTTTGTTTTATTTTTCATTCTGATATATCAAACCTGAAGAGCTGGGGGGGGTGCAGGCTGTGCCCCACCATCGGCTCCTCTGGCAGAGCGGCGACACGGGTCCACATCAACATCCTCTTTCAAGTGGTTTCTTGCCAAAGTTCTTTCCCCCAGTAGTGCCTGGAGGGTTGATGGCTTTTGTGGTGGATGCTGTGGAGAAAAAGATTGCAGTGATTGGTTTTAAAGCTTAATTTTGCCTGATTTTTCCCTATACTTAGTGAATTTGGCTCTGAGTTTCACAAACATTGGTAGCTGAAGGGAGGGTTGGGTTTGGAAGTCTTCGGGTTGATGAGGCAAAGAACCAGGTAAACAGAGAGATTCTAAAAAAAGGTGTTAATTTTCAAACTATTTTTTAAAATATAAAATTAGGTCTGTGATTTTGTCTTGCTTCTTCAAGCTCTTAAGTTGAGAAAGTCCTCGTCTGGTGTACTCTGTTGACCTCAGGTTCAAACTGCTTCTTCTCCTATGGAAACTGTGGGATTCTTTTGGCCTAATGGCTGATTTCCACCCACACTTTTTTGTGGTCAATCTTACCTGCACCACCTCTTCTTTTTTCTTTACCTTCTAATTTTGCCTTTGATATCTTCCCACTTCCAGATCATGCCCTTTTATCCAGTCCCAAGATCCACACGTCTCTTACTGCCCCCATCATCGGTGGTGATGGAGGGGAGAGGAGCTTCTCGTGGCCGTGTCAAATTTAATGATGAACTTTAATTGATGAAGTGCAGATGCGTGGGTTTAATCCGATGCTGTAATCGATGACTGACTTGGTTGCCCAGAGAAGATGTGGGTGCTCCATCCCTGGAGGTGTACAAGGCCAGGTTGGACAGGACTTGGAGCAACCTGGTCTAGTGGAAGGTGTCCCTGCTCTTGGGGGTGGATTAGATGGCTTTTAAAGGTCTGTTCCAACCCAAACCTATGATTCTGTGAACTTCAGCCTTAGTTAATAGAATACAACTTGTGCTCCAGCTATTTGGCTCATGTTCTTCCATGGTTGATGGATGGAGGACCTGTGGTGAGAGCCAAGGAGGGCAAGAACTTCAGGCAGGGGCTTCGGGCAGGGTTAGATCAGGAGTCTCCAACTGTTGGGTGGTGGTTCTTCCTCAACCGAGCAGTGATTTTGCAGAGGAGTGACCTGTTCACGCCGCTGCGATTGGCTGAGAGCTCCCACTTGTAGAATAATTTTCTCCCTATTAATCTTTGACTTCATTAAATGATGTAGTTTAGATGATACGGCTGTTTCAGACAAATCTTGATAAAATGCCATCAGCAAATTAAAACAATGATATTTTAAAGAAGCAATAAATCTCTTACTCACTCTCCCTATTCCCTTCGTTGGCTGTGATCAATCATCTGGACTGTCGGGAGGAAGCACATGGCAAATGCTTCTCCTGTAGTTTTTAGGGTGGTTTTTCTTTCTGTCATTCGTAGCATCCTCTCGGACCCGTAACAAGCAACGAGCCAGGAGCTGCTTTCTTGCTGCTACTGTCAAATCCAGGTTTTGGGGCGTGCAAAAGTGACGTGCAAGGGTTTCTCATGGCAATCCATCTTTTCGGAGTTAACACACTGCCTTAATAAACTTTAGGCAGGACCTTTGTTCTTGTCCATCTTCCCAACTCGCTGTCATTAAAGATGTTTATGAGATTCCCCCCTCTCTTTTTCATACAATCATGGAATGGTTAGAGTTGGGAGGGACCTTCAAGATCATCCAGTTCCAACCCCCCTGCCCTGGGCAGGGACACCTCCCACCAGACCAGGTTGCTCCAAGCCCCGTCCAACCTGGCCTTGAACCCCTCCAGGGATGGGGCAGCCACAGCTTCTCTGGGCAACCTGTTGTCTCTAACTACTGTGCACAACATCTAAATTAATTTCTTTTACCTTTCCCAGCTGCAGTAACATCAAGTTGGGGTAATAATTTGTGGCTTTATCCTCTGCCCGTGTCACTGTCGTGTTTCTAGGTGAAGGTTAGACCAGGTTGCTCAAAGCCCCATCCAACTTGGCCTTGAGCACCTCCAGGGATGGGGCATCTACTTTTGGGTGTCTAAGCTGCAAGAAACCTTGCTGGGGCATCCGGGACGTTACCCTTATGGCCGAGAAACTCCTGGAAAGGAGTGGAATTGATGAAATGGGACGTGTCTTGGGGAAATGAGTGACGGGAAGAGTCGCTGCAGGTCTGGAGGTACCTGGTGTTAATCCCTCAGTGATGAGTTGCCTTCTCTCTCCCCTTATTGCCAGGTTGCATTAAACTTCGCCCTGCGGCTGACTTTTCTTAGAGGCGATAGATGGGAGTATATTTTAAATTAATTTTACTACACTTTTTGTAATATTTTTGTTTTAAATAGATTTATAAGCAACTTGGGGGCTATTTCTCCAAATTTATGAAGATAATTTTCACTCTCTTGATAAGGTTAAATTTACACCTGCTATTTCCATATTAATTCACATTGCTAAGTGGATCTAATTTTCTTCCGTTCTTCTATCTAGCGAGTGTGGCCTTTCCTAATGCAATTTCCCCCTCACTAAATCACTGTGATCGGGAGTCATGATCGAGTTAAATTAACTTAAATTAATTTACTTAATAAGAGCTCCAGATCATTGTGAATGAGGTTAAGATTTATTGATTCTCCTTTTCACTCCTCCCCCTTATCTCTCCCTGCTTTGCCGGAGCGTGGCTCAGAAGGGCTGTGATTTGCTTGCCTTAAATTTCATTTGCTCCTATTGACATTGCGGTTGGTCATCGCTTAGAAATCACGGAGGGAGGGGGACACTTGCTCCCCACACAGCTCCTCGCCGTCAAGAGAGGGCTGGGCTGAGCCAGATGTGACAGATGAAGCGACGTGATGAGCGATGGTGACCATGGTGCTCCTGCTTCCAGCTTCTTTCCATGGTTCAGGTGGTGTCAGCAGATGTGGCCACCAATAAACCAGGATGGCCAAATTTTATAGACCTTGCCCAGAGGCAGCAGAAAACTTCTGGGGTTGAGGGTTCTGTGGGATGGTGTAAACTTCTAGAAATGTATGTTGTGACTGGGATCCTGCACCTTGATGCACCTTGGCCGGAGGTAGCAGATGAAGATAACGGGAGGAGGATGCTCCCAGCCGTTGTAGATACCCCTCCTTGCAAAGCCACATGCTCCACCAAAGGGACAGTCTTGCAAGTGGAGCAGGACAAACCAGACAAACCCAAATGCCATCGAGCATCCATCCCAAGGCAGCAGTGGGAAATGTCCTTGTCTCTCTACAGTAGATGACCTGCCCATGATGGGGTCAGGCAAGGAACCATGCCAAGAACAATGGGGACCATTGACCAGGAGAAGAAGGGTGCACCAACGCCTTCAGGAGACCCCAGCTCACCCTCTCGTGGAGAGACAAAGCCACTTCGAAACACATTTTTGGGAGCGATCTATATGGATTGGCTGATGTTGTGTTTATAGACCCCCTGACGGGCGAGTTAAAACATTGACCCACTTTGAAGAGTTTTCTTCTAAAATACTGATGCATGTGTTTAAAAGAAAAGTAACCTGTCTGCAAATATAGTCTGACACTGATGAAGAAGTTCAGATATTTCCTTCAGAAAACTTAGCACTGCCTCTTGAGGGACAGTCCTACCCCTCCAGCACTATAAATAAGTAAAGTACAAGATAATACAACGTTTGTCAGAGAAATGCCTGCTCAGTAGAAAAGATTTGTCAGCAGAGGATACACTTGTGTGGTTTAGTTCTGTTTTCTTCTTTTCTTTTTATTCCTTGGCCTGGAGCATTTTGAACGGACTAAGATGGAGACAAGAGCCTTCTGGGCTTGACTTAGGTCCTCATCACTTGTTTTCCCTTTAGGGTTTTACCTTTTGTCACAAAAAAGGGGATGCGGGTTGTGAAATGGGCTGGATCTCAGCCACCACAGTGGGTGCAAGTGCCACTTTCCCAGGGCAAAGGGACATATGGCCAAGAGGAGAAGAAAGCACCATCTCTACCAGTCACCAGCTTTTCAGGAGGTTGAGATGCCGCGTGCCGGGTCGCTGA